TGTTGTTTCAATCTGATATGTGGATTCCAAGTTAGACGTTTGTCCAGGTGGAGTCTAAGGTATCGGATTTGTTCAACAGGGATGAGTGGGGTATTGTTAAAGGATGTTGTATGACAGGAAATAATTGGTTCACGGTGAAGAGTAAAGGTGAATTGAAAAGTTAAAAAAATTGCTTTCATAATATTTACAAAAGGAACAGGGAGGAGGGGTGAACAGGGGAGGTGGAGAAGGTTCGGGTGATTCTGAAATTTATTATTAAAAGATAAGTATCTGGTTTTGACCAACATGACAACATATGAAATATTACGGTCGATAGTTTTATTTCTGACAAAATAATGAGCATTGATGATTGTGACTATTCAATACGAGCGAAATTGCCCAAAGCTCTACCATGAAGTATAGAGCGCATAAGCTGGTGCTGAAGTAACAAAAAACATCGAGGATTCGATTAATAAAAATTCAGAATTTTGAAATTATCGTTTCTGTTATAGTCAATTCAATAGTTGGGATTTTTATATCCTGAAAGTTTGACTACATTAGGTCAAAGGTTTTGACACTTAACTTGTACACGGACCTCTCTTCAACATTTGTTGGTGGACCCCATCCTAACCTTCTTGTTCTGTTAATAAAGATCTATATCTATGACTAATTCAGCAAAAAGTCTTAACTTTGTAGGATTTTTATTAAATGATTTATTTGAATAAAAGGAAAAAATTGATCAATATAAATTTAATGTCAAAATTGTTACATGAACCCATTAGAGATCATCTTAGTTTTATAGGATGAAAGGGTCCTAAGAAAAAAGGAAATACAATGACAATGTATTTTGTCCCTGCAGATTTTTAATCTCATAATGTATAGAAAAAAAAAGTATTTAGTGCTGTTACTACACTTCATCTAACTCAGATAATAGTAAAAATAATTTGTTTTATTTGTTTTTATTTCTTAATGATATTTACAGCTGTATAAAAGAAATACATTTAGTAAATTTTAATATATGGATATAATGACGTGAAAACACTTGAGAAACTACCAATTGGTAGCACTCTAATGATATGTCTAAATTAGGAGATCACGGGCCCATTTTCTTTTCAGACTCCTCGGAGGGTTATCAGGAAATGAAGAGGAAGCAAGGTTAGAAACGAGGGGGTTGGTATGATTCTGAAGTTTATTATGGAAGGATAGGTAGCTGGATTGGGTAAGATCTGAAACATAAGAAACATTAAGGTCATTATGGATGGTTTTATTTGACACAAAGTAGCAATGACACAAAGGGAGCATTAAGAATTTTACGAAGGATTTTGGATTGTAAGGCTTGGATATGAGAGAAATTCGATGGTTTAGTGGAGCCCCATAGCTCAACTCCGTAAGTCCAAATAGGCCTTATTATAGTCATGTATATGAGTCTTTTGTAATTAATTGGAAGTTTAGAGCGTTTGTCTAGTAAGTGCTGAAGGAATCGGAAACGTCGAGAGGTTTCTTGTCGTTTCAGTCTGGTATGAGTAAAAATAAAATAAATAAACCATTACCTACCTCCCAGAAATTATGAACCTAGGTTAATTGTTTTGTATTTATTTTGTTATTGCATTGTCTTATTCATGATGACTCCTCAGTTCTTAATTTTAAGCAATATTTGTTTTAAACTCAATACAGAGAATCGTGTAACATCATTTAGATATTAAAATTATATACTGCATGTTAAGTTATATATCCGGCTTCTGATTAGTTTCAATTCATATGAAATAAATAATATATAATTACCCGACAGGCCCTTGTTCCATTCACAGTGGTAATAAATCTCATTGATGTTTTCTCATTTATTAAGTGCGCTGATTACAAAGAATGGGCTATCAGCTGTTAGTATATTGGAATGATTACTCTCTATATTTTTATAATGTCTAAAACTATCTTTTTACCTATTATTATAAAATAATAGAATAAAATCTTTTTATTAATTAGTATTTACTAAGGTCAGGATATATTTAGTTCCATAACTTTTTCATGATACGCTGAACTGTTCTGATATATTTTTAATAGTATTTTAACAAAATGTTGTTTTTCAACCGTAGAAAATTTAAAAAAAAAAAGCCTACTCATTAAAAAAAAAAGAAAGTTACATGACAAAAAAAGAACGAAGTAAATATATACGAATTATTGATAATGGACATAAGAACAATTAATGATCATTAACATTTGCTTGAAATTATATATATATATATATATACATTTTCCTCATCCAGTGAAACAACTACGTGACTGGAAATCACACAATTGTATAGTAGAGGCAAAATTATTAGATTTATTATTAAATAAATCATTTTATATTTAAAATTGATTTTACCAGTGCAAGATTTTGTAGTGTAGGATTCTTTCCATTCACATATTGTTTTATAGTTGAAGCAAAATAATTAGAATTATTATTACATAGATCATTTAATTTTTTAAATTGATTATACCAGTGTAAGATTGTGCTATCCATTCACATTTTGTTTACATCGTACAATGGCGTCGTTTTGATTTAGTATTTCTTTCATATGTTTTAATAGCATTTTTTTCATACGTTGTAAAAAGATTCCAAAATTTTACCATTGCGTCCTTGTTTCACTGGATATATATTTTTTTTTTCCGTACATTTGTGGGTTTATCATTTTAGTGTTGCTTTATAAGAGCTATTATATTTTTTTGAGAAATAGAGTGGTGAAAATTCAATAATTATCAAATTTAAGTAATGTATAAGGTGTCATGATAAATATAGATTTTGATCTTGGAGTAACCCCAAGGATAGAGAACTTCATTTAGTATGATCACTGCTCTAAGTATGCCACTACAATAAGAAATTCTTGTTCATATTAAGAATAATTCCAGGCTTAATATTGAATTTTCTTTTGAACTTTTTATTTAAAAATAAGATATACAAATTTCCATTTATAAAATTTCCATTTTTTTCATATCATCGGAAATCATTTTAGAAAATTGTCTGTTTCCAACTATATGTGGGTATTCTTGTCTCCGAAAATGATTAAAACTACTGAACATACATGGGCCCCTATTCTGTTTTCGTAGATTTAAATTGTATTTATTTATTTTTTGCTATTTATTACTTCCTATTGATTAAATTATTTTTAGATTTAAGATCCATCTCTTTAAACGTTAATACTAAAAGTCAAATATTTTCATACTTTTAATAAATAATTTCTATCAGTTAAGGTGAATTTCAGTTTAAAAATCGAAAAAACAAAACTTTCATTATCGTATATTTCCGCGGTCGATGCTTAAATATATAAACCATGCAAATTATAGTGGATCGGTATTTACGTATTATTAACTTTGCTTCATGGAAATATAAAGGGCTTTTTAGGTAGGAAGTTTTAACCATCTTAAAGTGAACATTTTTCTTGCAGTCTATTACTTTAATTTACACTGCACAGTCAGAAAGAGCTCAGTTATGGTTTTATTTTTTGTAATGTTATATATTTTATTTCGTATATTTGTTTGTTTAACTCGAAATGGTTGCACAATATTAAGAAAGGAGGGTGTCAGTGAGTCACTGGGTGTTCCCTCCCCTAGGGTGGTACTCCCTAACCGATTTAGGTCACAACGGCTTCTTTTTCGTCTCAATACAGATTCACAAAACAAAATTGTGTAATAAATGTTTTTTATATATACGAGTGTGTGTGTATATATATATATAAGTGAACAATATAAGCTTTGCTAATTGCAGATTAAAATATTATATCTCGAATGTATTAGTCATCCGTTCCTCTGTTTTGCAAAAGTAGTTTTAACTTCAAGTTTTAAATAAGAAACAATCACGAGATGTAGATTACATTCTATACACTAAAATATATAGTATAAATTTTCATTACTTTTTACTAATCAGTTTATAATAGAGTTGGTAACTTTAAAGTAGCCGTTCACAGTCATAATCCCTAATTTTCATAATTTTTTTTTTTTTGGATATTGCATTTTTAGAATTCTTGATATGCATTATTTCTTTTAAACAACTTTGAAAGTTTTATTGTAATTCATGTATTTGGTAGAACTGTTTGAATAAGATAATATCGTATGATCTTTTTTCAAAATCGTTGCTTGGTTTTTTTTGTTGTTTTTTTTAGATGAAGAAAAGTTTAGTTGAATCCATCATCACCCAATGATTCTCTGAATTCATACCCCCTCCCCCCATATCTCGTCTATTTAAATTTAAGGGGAAATATAAATTATTTTCAAATAATTAAACCAAAGCCTAAAAATAAAATTAAACATTTCAATTCAAATATTTTTTTTACTTTCACTTACGTATATATGTAATATTTAGTAAGTGTAAGTATTGCGATCGAGAAAATTTTTGAATCTGAGTTTTCGACGGATTTTTTTGTTATTATTTCAAAATAAAAAGTTTCTTCATTGGAATGACCATTCGTAATAAACCATTATCTAATAATTTCTATCAGTTTATTTTATTTTTATATTGTACTGATTTTTTTGAATTTTGTTTGCTCTGTAGTAAAAGGTAGTATGAATCCCTCTCTTCTTTGGCCTTTCCTTAACAATATACAATTGACTTTTAACCTGATATCATTGAATCAATTATTATTCGTTCTTTATCAAAATCATATTTTTTGTTTTACTAAATTTCTATAAGTAATCTTACTAAGTGCTTTCCAATTAGCCATCATTCAGCTTTTGATTGTGTATTTATATGAATGGCTTGCAATTATTTTACATATTTAGTTTGTGCAAAACATTTCCGTTTTCAGCCAACGCTTTTAAATCATGGCAGTAGTCTGGTGTGCTGTAGGAAAATAAAACTTTCACAAGAAGGGAAATCGGTAAATGAGCTTTAGATTATTTAACCATCTAGACGAGAGAGGCCAAAAGGCAGCTCAGAACAGAAGGGGGGGCGTTAAAAATTTCTCCAATATTTGAAGTACAGAGCGGTGAGGAGGGGAGGAGGGGGAGGGGCAGCGGTGGGGAGGCCGGGGTTCCCTCCTCGCCGCCCAGTCAAGGACTACTCCTCGCCCTGGCCGCTTATGGTCCTCCCGGGGATCGGCTCTGCACTCTCGTCGACCTCCAGCGCTAGCCCTCTCGTTTCCTCATGCCAGCCGCTCAGTCCTCTCCGCGATCCTGATCATGGCGGTCATGGTTGAGCAGCGGCCGTTCCGGCCCTTCAAGTCCTCCGAGGAATACCTCGATGCTATGAAGGAGGACCTGGCAGAATGGCTTAACAACCTATACTCTGATCTCTACATCACCGTCGAAAACTTCTGGGACCGGCTAGACACCGGTGTCGCCCTATGCAGACATGCCAACAATGTTCGAAGTTATGCCGAAAGATACATCACCTGGCGTCAAAATGTAGGAAAGTCGGAAAACAAGGATGCTATAAACGTTCTCAAGCACCCGCCGGTAAAATGCTTCAACAGCGCCAAACAAGGTACGTTTTTCGCGCGTGACAATGTTTCGAATTTCATAGCGTGGTGCCGGCACGCTTTAGGCATAATAGATTGTTTACTATTCGAAACGGACGATCTGATCTTACTGAAGAATGAGAAGAACGTCATACTCTGCCTGCTTGAGTTGGCTCGTCAGGGAACCAAGTACGGTATGCCAGCACCGATGCTTGTTCTGATGGAAAGGGAGATAGAAAAAGAAATAGCGAGAACTGAGAACGGCGAAACGGTTGACTCCACCAGCGATGAGGAGTGCGAAGTCGGGGAAGCTAAACCTCAAATAGTCACGAATGACCTCAAGAGTTTGGACGAAATGGTGCGTGTCCAGGTGCAGATGTGCAAATGCCCAACTCAGTTCCAAATGGTGAGGGTGTCGGAGGGCAAGTACCGGATAGGAGATACCAAAGTGCTCATCTTCGTTCGGCTCCTGAGGAACCATGTGATGGTGCGGGTGGGTGGTGGATGGGACACGCTTGCTCACTATTTGGACAAGCATGACCCGTGTAGGTGCCGCAGCCAGCACAAAACGTCAGTCTCGGCCAAGCTGAGCGGCGTGAAGACCGGAGGCCCCCAGATGGAGATAGCCCACGCGAAGGTTACCTACGAGCGGAAAGATGCGAGGAAGGACGGGATGGCCTGGGGCGACCAGACCCACTTCCAGCCGCGGTACCTCTCCCCGACCCACTAGAGTGCCGTGCCGTGCCGTGCCTGTGTCAGTGCGCTGTGTGATAGTGGTGCGAGATAATAGGATGGTTCACCTCCGACCTCATCGGCATTGTCCGTACCTTGTAGATGTGCCGCATTGTGATAGCCGCTGCCGGACCTCCGCTAGGACCTAACCACACCTACATTCCACCTCTCTTCATAATAAAATACAAACACCTGCTTATCTGCCCCAGTATCTGTAATTGTCTATTATCTCCAGTATCTCTGCTGTACATTTCCATGTCACCTAAAATCGACTAGTTTTACATCTCATCGACAAGCCTCCTATATCTTAAAATTCCCTCAGGTAGATATGAGTTTTTATTAGTTATTTATTGATAAGTTTAGGTTAGTGGTCGTTAAAGTTGTTTGTTCAGAGCGTTAAGATCCTTCAGATATATATCTCAAAATCATACAACAATTATTAAATTTCTTTGAAATAATCAAGATTTATTTGTTAATGTTATATTTAGTATTTATATAAAGTGTTTACATTATTGTTCTTATCGGTTTCGAATTGTTTATCTTGAATAACCTTCTGTGCTTTTTGTTGGTTAAAATTTATATATATTTTTATCTAAATTTCTTTAATGTATCGGTTAATTTTGTAAAGACTATTTTGTACTTAAATTTATTCGATATTCGTAATTAAAAATTGTATGAACTATGATTTTGTTTTATTTACCCTGTTATACCCATCATTGTTTTAGTTATCCATCCAGAATTGAAGAAAATCTGTTGAGAAGCAAAATTATTGCAGTTTGTTTGCTTTATTTTGTACTTTTAACATATTTTGGCAAATCCTATATATACAAAGCGAAAAAAAAGAGCATGATTGGCATTTAATGAGAGCTAATTGCTCATTGAGATTACATGTTGTTTGGTGTGTTATGTAGTTGTGAATATAGAATGGTTTGACCTCTACTGAATAACTTTATTATTAAAGAGAATTATTAAAAAATACTAAAGTAATCACTTTTGTTTGTTTCTTTGTCTTTACATTGCTATATTATAGTGGTAAATTTGTAGTTTTCATTTACACATATATAATAAAAAAATTAACTTATCCTGGAATAAGAATTGGGTTTAAATAGAGGTTTTTATAATTGTATTGTGTATGCTTACATTGAAGTTATACTTAAATAAATATTTTTTTTTTCTTTATTCAAAAGTAAATTTTATAGCAATTCGCCAACATTTTCAAGAGTTCATTTTGATAATAATAGTGTGATCTTGTGTTGCTAAAATGCAGTCTTAATTCGTTTTATCTTTTTCACCTAATGGTCATTTATCAACCTTTCGAAAAGAAAACTGTCGTGTGCTTTTACAAAGTATAATTCTGCTAAAAGAAATTTTATTTATTTACTAAAGATATTTGTAGGCTGAAAATACCCTAACAAAAGATACACTTCAGTTATTATAGCTATAAAGTGTTAGTTTCATCACGTTCTGAGTGAAGGCAAACAGCTATTCTCATAACTGTCAATGAACTTCGTTTTCATTCGTTTTCCCAAAAACACGTCGATCTTAACAGCTCATTTAATAAAACCGTTATGGTCTCCAAGGAAGTAAGTAATGTTTTAAATCTTAAGGTGTTTGTAATAATTTAAGTGATAATTGATAACTTGACTTTGTTCAATATTTGTTTCAGTGTACTTAATAAAAATACCTGCAGTGGTTAAAAAAAAAAGTTACATAATTTTTTTTAAGTATTTTATATTCCAGAACAAGGGTCTCCAAACTTTTCGGCCCGCGGGTCACATTAAGACCTCCGCGAAGTCCCGTAGGCCGCATTGAGACCTCCACCTTAGCTTGTGAGGACGAAAAAATCTTGTTCTATAAATGACACTTCAGTTCTGGAATAATCTTTCTTAGAGCAAAAAACATACAATAAATGTAGTGAACCTCTTGTCTGAGTAATTTGCTAAATTTCATGTATTTAAATAGTTTTTAAAACTTATCGTTTAATCAAAAAAACTTTCTCGGGCCGAATCGGAGGTGCTTGTGGGCCTGATTCAGCCAGTGGGCCATGGTAAGGTGACCTCTGTTCCAGTAGATTGGAGGGAGGGGTGGGTTACATGTTTGGATGTTCATGACTGCAGCTGATTCAAAGTTTAAACAGGAAGAAATACAATCGATAAAACGGACAAAACTATTTTAATTAATAACCTATTCATATATTAATATTCATTTTAATTACTTACCTAAATATTTTAGATCTGAATAATCAATTGTTTGTAATTCAACCAATCTTACACAAGAATTGTAAATATTTAATAGTATTTATTTTTTAAACTTTACTATTTCTTTAAAGTTAGTTTTGTCTGTTTTAGTAACTTAATTGTTATAATTTTTTTCAGATTTGTATATATATATATATATATATATATATATATATATATATATATATTTAATTAGTTATCTTAAAATGGAATCCTCATGATGAATGAGATCTCCGAAGATGAAATTAGAGAATATTTTATTAATGAAAAAACATTATAATGGTAGTAATTTTATCATTATATAAAATTACTTCCATTATATATCCATTATCTATCCATTATTTATCCATTTTAGTTATGTATGTATATATATATCGTGATAAAATTACGTCCATTATAATGTTTTTTTATTAATAAAATATTCTCAAATTTCATCTTCGGGGATCTCATCCATCATCAGGTTTCCATTCCAAGATAAATAACAATACAACAATGTAATAAAAATAAACACTATTAATCTTTACTATGTATAATACAGGTGTACAGTTACAGTAATATTCTTAATAATTCTTGCAATTATATTTATAATATTTATATTAACTAGAACACATAATAATGGCCTATAAATAAGATTTTTAATTAAGTTTTATTACATTTGGTCGATGTTATTAAATTTAAATTTTCAAGTAATTAGTATTTTTGAAATTCTTATAAAAATATAAAATTCAAAACAGAAGACATAATATGGAATGTGGTTTATGAACCTTACTCTTGAGTGTTTGAACCGTGTCACTAATAAAGAAATTCGTCAAGCTGATATTTAAGATGATTGGTTTTACCGAACTGGCCGAGTTCATCGTGACACGGAATCAGGCAAGAAAATTTCACTTAATGGCTTAATCCGTTATTAAATACCGTAATTCGGAAATACCTTATTTATTTTTTTAAAAATCTAAATGGTTTATACTAAGATTATGCAGACAGCGAATGACGGATACAAATAGATTACTAAATTTTTATTTTTACTTTTTTTTATCGGAGAATATTGTTTTAGTTCTCAATAAATAAAGGGAATTTGTTCACGAATGAGTTTATATTTAATGAATACATTAATCTATCATAAACTAATATACATATACTGGACACAAACATGGTAGATTGGTTTCGAACCATGGTACCGGGTCCAGGAGGTTCAAATGGTCCAGCAAATAGAGTATGATTTTATAATTATTGTTTATACCTTATTATGATTTATATATATATATATATATATATATATATATATATATATATATATATTGAATAAAAAATATAATATATAATAGAATAAAATAATATTGCTATATTATAATATAATTCCTTGCTATAATAATATATAATTCCTCACAATATTTTATAAAATAAAGGACAATTGAGGAACTTGTTATTAAAACTGGACATCCTCATTTCGACCGATTTTCGGTTAGGTTTGGTAGTTTATGGTAATTGAGCTTTATAATATCTCTATTTCTGTAACGTATGTTTTCACACATTGCATAGCGAATGGAAAATTTTTTTTAAGCAAACTAATCTTTTCCAAGTAGTAGCAAAATCAGTTTTTACTGACACTTTGGGAACAAAAGCGGACAATAGGACCACTATTGATAGCAAAATTACTTTATAATTTAGCTTACAATTTACTGTGTATGGATTTAAGTTATAATCTTCTGCCATGAAAGAAAAATGTTTGGCTCTTGACTATATTTTTATTAAATGAATTTTGTTAAAACTATTTTCCATTGTAACATTTTCAATATTTCTGTCCTTAACACAACTTACTGTATATGTACAAAAAAAAAAAGTTATGATATATCAATTTGTAAAAAATGTAATAAAAATCGAAGAGCCTCTGCCATAAAAATAAAAATTGAGAGTATAAATTCGACGATCTTTCTGAGATCCTCCAGAGAACCTTAGAGTTTCATCGCCAAGACAGTGGGGTTTGGCCAAATTAACTTTCTGATGTCCTCCAGCTCAGGACATGTCTGAAGGATGTGCTCTATATTCTGGTAGCCTCTTCTACAGCTACAGAAAGGATTTTATCTAACTTGAAATTTTTCGTTCAACTGATTATTATTTGCATGTATATGCATTTGGTTATATTTATATTTTACAAAATTTCTCATATCGACCTTTGCGTATTATATTTTAACGTAATTATTTAAATGAGAGATTTTGTTGAGGTTTATAGGCTGGTTGTCTATTGATGTTATGTTTATTTAGTGAGTTTGAATAAAATTAGAGTATGGGAAACATATTTCAGCTGTTTTTGTATGGTTTCATACTTTTATAATTTTTTTAAAGATATTTCTGGTTTTATGTTCAATAGTATAAACAAACATTTTACCTTGGATCTGTCAATTAAGAGATATTTTGGATCATCAAAACATTCAGGTACATTAAAGAACAATTTTTTTCTGTCATTAAATTTGTTGGTCCTTTTTTTTCACACATCAAATTCTCTCACCCCTCAAAAACTAGCGCTCAGGGGCCCTTTATAAATCAAGATCTGTTCCATAGGCCTAGCTGCCCCTTTTGTCTCCTCGCCCCAACCGCCATGGTGTAAGATTGGTTATAATGTTTTACTATGTAGCGGGATGAGGTTGGTCTATTATGTTATCTTTTTAGTCATTATATGAGCCTTTCGGTTAACAGAATGACTAACTCCGATTCCAACTTGTTTTATTATTAATTTTAGCGATATTTCTATTGGGAAAATTTATACCTTAATTCAAAGCTCTATATTTCAACACTGCAATAATCTAGTCTGGAATCAACTTAATCACTGTCTGTACGGATATTATCAACTTTCCAAAATACCTAGATGCTATAACTAGAAATATCACTACAATGACTTTATTCAAAAAAGTGTAAATAGCAGTTAGTCATTCTGTCGATTGAAAGGCTCATGTATTGGGCAGCGAGTGATCTAGTGGAAATGGTCATCTCATCCATAAAACATTCCTGAAAAAATATCTTTCGTGATGTATGCATTTTAAATTTGGAACTTTGAAAATTATACCCGTTTAATTCATTTTTAACTCAA